TATCTAATAAAGGACTAGTATCCAAAATATACAAAGAACTCTTAACGCTCAACAATAGGAAAACAAACAACCCAGTTGAAAAGTTGGCAAAAATAGGGGGTGCCTGGGTGGCTCAGTCGGTTAAGCGGCTGCCTTCGGCTCAGGTCATGATCCCAGGGTGCTGGGATCGAGCCCCGTGTCAGGCTCCCCGCTCAGCGAAGAGTCTGCTTCTCCCTCTCCCCGCCGCCATGCCTGCTGTGCTCTCTCACTCTCTCTGTGCCAAATAAATTAATAAAATCTTTTTTAAAAAAGGGCAAAAATATAAACAGATATCTCACCACAGAAGATACACATGTGGAAAATAAGGATATGAAAAGATGCTCAACATTATATGTCATTTGAGAATCTCAAATTAAATCAATAGTGAGATACCACCATATACCTATCAGAATGACCAAAATCCAAACACTGACAACACCAAATGCTGGAAAGGATGTGGAGCAGCAAGAATTCTCACTCATTGCTGATGAGAGTGTGAAATCATCCAGCCACTTTGGAAGATGGTTTGGGAGTTGCTTATAAAGCTACAAAATTCAACTGATATGAATATGTATGTCCACACCAAAACCTGCACATGGATATTTGCAGTAGCTTTATTCATAACTGCCACAACCTGGAAGCAATCAGGATGTCCTTTAATGGAAAGACAGATAAACAAACTGTTGTAAACCTAGACAATGAAATATTATTCAGGGTTGAAAAGTAATAACGATCGAGCCATGGAAAGACATGGAGGAATTTTAAATACATATTGCTAAGTGAAAGAAGTCAATCTGGAAAATCTACAGACTGCATGATCCCAACTATATGTTGTGCTGGAAAAGACAAAACTTAGAAACATTAAAAAGATCAGTCGTTGCAGGGACTTGGGGAGAGGGAGAGAGGAATGAATAGGAGGAGCACAGGGGAATTTTAGGGCAGTGTACCTACTGTGTGATGCTGTAATGGTGGATACACATCTTATATATATTTGTCCAAACCCACAGAATGTACAATACAAAGAATGAACCCGATTGTAAACTAGGTACGTTAGTTAATAATCATGTATTCATCAATTATAACAAATGTGCCGCACTGTTGCAAGATGTTAAGAATAGGGGACAGGAGGATGGGGGCAGGTGAGCATATGGAAACTCTCTGTAATTTTCACCTAATTTTTCTATAAACCTAAAATTGTCCTAAAAACTGAAGTCTATTAATTAAAAAAAAAAAGAACATGTATTAAGGAGTGTATGCAAAAAAGCTGAGAGCATATTCAGGAAACAGGCTGAAATGCATGATGGGAGAAAGAGAGTGATGAGCATAGAAAAGTGTAGTGCAGGAATAAGATGCTGAAGAATGTCATATGCCATGTTATGGTATCTGCATTTTAGTGTAGGTCAAGTTTTTTTCAAGTTATATGGTCAGATTTGTCCTTGAGAAAAATAATTTCCTTGGCCATAAATATGGAATGGAGTGAAAAGAGCTTAGAGGGAGAGACACAAAGTAAGAGGTTATTGCTCCAATCCAAGTAAAAGGTGATGAGGACAGGATAAGGCCAAAGTCCCAACCCCATTCTCATGTCTTGAACTTCTTTGAACTCAAGATAAATCTGTTTACATGGACCAACTCCATGGTAGCCAGAAGAGAAAACCATGATCATCAGGGATTTGGCAAAAGCTATGGCTATAGGTAACTCTGCAATTTCCTTCCCTTCAATAAATCATGAAAAGTATAATCGATTCTTTTTTTATGATATGGGTAGTTTGCCATGAAATCAGAGGAGTGAATTACACAGATTTTTTTTTTAAAGATTTTATTTATTTATTTATTAGAGAGCGAGCGAGAGAGAAACAGCATGAGAGGGGGGAAGG